TGTTTCGCCGACTTATTTCCCAGAGAAGAGGACGGAAAAACTACAACTCCTGCAAGAAGTAGTTAAAAATGCACAACAGACACAAAACAGGCTTCTTTTATAAGAAAGTAAGTGCAACTTAAAGGGGAATTCCACCAATTTTCCAACTTTTACTGCATGGTTAAATGATTGGGATGTAAACAGAGTCGTTCAGAGTGGTTTGGTGTGAAATGCTCTGTTCTAGAGAAGCGTACTGAGTCAGGATTGTTCACAGTGGTGGTGATAGGAACCAGGTGTCCACCTCTGGGCAGTCAGGGGCTGGAGGTTAGGGAACCAGCCTTACAACCAGAAAAAGTTGCCGGTTTGATCCCCTGAGCTGACAGTATGTGTCTGAGGTGCCCTTGAGCAAGGCACCTAATCCCCAACTGCTCCCTGGGTGCTGTGGATAGGGCTGCCCACCGCTCCAGGCAAGTGTGCTCACTAGAGTGTGTTCACTAGTGTGTATGTGGTGTTTCACTGCATGGATGGGTTAAATGTGGAGGTAAAGTGTCCCCATTGCAGGACTAATAAGGGTCTCTTAATCTAAGAGCTCCCTCACAGAATGGTATTACATGAAGACGCTGTCTGACACCGTTTTATGATAGATGGCGGAGGGATACATGCAGGTTTTTGTGAGGCAAAATAGTCCCCAAAGAAAACTTTCAGATTTATCACTATTTTCCATCATCAACGTTCCATATAAAGGCTCTGAAGACTCATGTAGGTTCACTGGTGGTTTTGGATAGTTAATAAAATGTCTATATTTGTGTTGTAGTCATGGCGACCCCTGGTTCCTATCACCACCACTTCAAAGACATCTGAACCATTTCACACCTAACCACTCTGAATCACTCTGTTTACATTTAAAACGTTGAACTATGCAGACATTGTGAAAAATGGATGAAATTTCCATTCATGCAAGCTTTTAGACAGAAAAATGAAAAGAACAAAATTACACACTGTTACAGTGCAGGAAAGAACCTGCTGCGCTTCTAATGCTGCCTCCCGCCAGCCTCATTACATCAGTCTGCTGCTGCGTGGGAGCCGCTCTGTCATCGCAGTCCTCAATGATGTGTTTATGTGAAATCTCTTATTGCCCCAGTGATAAAAAATATGGGTTGCAGCCCTAATAAACATTTATACAACACAGAAATTGGGACTGAATATTCGTCACTGTCCAAAGAAAAACAAATATCTCCAAAATAGTAACTTTACAGGAGAAAGCAAAAAACACTCAATGTAAGATAATGTTAAGAGATTTTATTGCAAGTGATTTTGAGTGTTTCTATTGGTCCATTCATCATGAAATGTGTTGAAATCATGTAGAAACAATGAAAAATGGAGATGGTTTTTCGTTAGACAGTGATGAATATATATATATATATATATATATATATATATATATATATATATATTATTTTTTTCGTCCGACAACTGCAAACATATAAATATATATATATATATATATATATATATATGTATATATACTGTAATAATATAATATATATATTCGTCACTGTCTAAAGAAAAACAGGCTTCTCCAAAATGGCACCTTTACAGGAGAGGGCAAAAACTTTCTTTACTTTCAATGTCAGTGAATGTAAAGAGATTTTATTCTAAGCAATTTTGGAGCATTTCTATTGGTCCAAATTTTTGAACAAGGTAAACAACAGCTGCTGGGCTCAAATAATGCAGAAAAGTAAATATCCAAAAAAGTGGAGATACATGTTTTTCATTGGACAGTGGCAAGACATACACACACACACACACACACACACACACACACACACACACACACACACACACACATATTGCTGTTGGACCAAAACCTTGTAGTGTTTTTGACATAATTTGAAAATGTCTATTGTCCTTTATATTGTGTGGAGATTTAAAGAGGAACGGACCAAAAGAAATGGCCCAAAGTGACTATATATATAGCATATAACAATATATTGACAATATATACACAATATATAGATAGACAGATATAGCCGAGACGTTAATCCGCCGATGCACATTACTGTTATAAAAATACGCCGTTCACTTAAAAAGTACAGCTACTGCAGATTTTTAAAATATAAAAATACAAACTCCACTCTTAAACAGGCACACATGGGTTTTTACTGCGCTCAAACTATTATAAAGGTATTATCATAATAGTTTTTAGCAGACAATCCTGACAGCAACACCCTCAGCACCTATATATATATATGGTTCTATATATATAGCATATATAGATATATATATATAGAATAACAGACATATAGTATTTACTTCTGTAACATTACAAATGCAGTAAAAGAAATACAATGCAGATGTTTTAGCACAGTAACTAAATGTTCTGCTCTTCACTTAACATCAGTTTGAAATCAGTCAAATCTAAGCATCAGTCCCACGATGATCCTCTTTTTAAACAATCATCTGCCAATACTGATATTGTTCCAGCATAATCCTATAAATAAGCAAACGTAAGACTCCAAACACGCTCTGGCTCATCTACGTTTGGGACAAATTGTACACAACTGATTTCTCACTCAGCAAAATAGTGGCGAAAGGAGACGTTGTGAGCTGAGCCGCCCTCACTGTGAGAATCAGTGTTCAATAAAGAGGCCCAACTGCAGCCACATAAGGTGGCAGAGGAGGACGCGGCAGAACAGAGAGGGTAAAGAACCTGCAGCGAGTGCTCAGGACGTGACCCGGTATGTCTTGTAATCTGCAAGATTAAAACGCAAGTCATTTGTCAGGCAGGACATATTTCCATACAGCCGGACGCTCCAATCCGTCCACTGCGCTGATGCGTCTTAAGTCGTGTTGAGTTCCTGCGCTAGATGAGCTCCTCATTCTGAAGTCAGAATAACAGCCTGAGATATCACCAGCCTCCCTGCTAAGTACATGTATTGCTCCACTCTATGCTTGTAATCTACTGGGCTTCCAAGAAAGACCACTAACAGCATGTTTTCAGAGAAACGCTTTAATCCCCACAAATCCCATTTTGAAATTTTCAGAATTTCATTTTTCATTTTTGTTTTTTTTGCAGGAATGTTACTGTAAGGCCATGGTTTTTATCAATAATGATGAAGCTTATGTTATTCTATTATATACAGGGTGCCTTAATCTGAGTTTATGTCTTGCCACACTATTTAAGTGTGATTAAATAATTAATTACATAGTTATATGATGAATTACATTTACATTCATTGTGTTATTCACTGTAGTTAATTATGTAACTACCTCTGTACCCATATGGAAGAAAAGGGTATGTACATATATTTTTGCGATGATTTAAAATATATGTGATAAACATATTTAACAGTGTCATGTTTAATGTGTAATTATATGCCACTGTATGCATATATATGCCAATATATCAGCAATGAAATCTATGTAATGATGTCAGACTCTTAAAAAAGGGCTCTTGAGTAAAGACAATGGTTCTATATAGAACCATGTACACTCAAACCCTTTGCATGATTAAAGGATTCTTAAGAATGTGCTGTAGATGGTTTGACATTTCTAAAAAAGGTTCTATATAGCACCAAAAAAGGGTTCTTCTATTGTTATAATGTCATATTTGTAACAATAAAAGAACCGTGTTGGGTGCTACATAGAACCTTTTTTCCAATTTTTCTATATAGAACCATCTACAGCACATTCTCCATTACTCCTAAGAACTTTCAATGCACAATGTACAGAACCCTTTAATCATCCAAAGGGTTCTTTGAGTGTTCATGGTTCTATATAGAACCATTTTCTTTACTAAAGAACCTTTGAAGAACCATCTTTTTTAAGTGTGCAGGGTTTCATATTACCTAATACTGAATGTCAAAAATATGGAAATATATTACAAACGACTTTTTTGGAAAATATTTGGTATATATAAAATATAAGTTTATTTATTATAATTACATATTTAAGTTAATTATGTAACTATGTACCCATATGTATGAAAAACGTATGTAGATATATTTGCTCATGTTAAAAATATTTTTAATATGTACATCTGTGATGATTTAAAATATAGGTGGTAAACATATTTCACAGTGTCATTTCTGAATGCGTAAATACATACATACATCAACTAAACCGCTTATCCTTCTGGGTCGCGGTGGGGTGCTGGAGCCTATCCCAGCTGTCATTGGGCAGAAGGCAGGATACACCCTGGACAGGTCGCCAGTCCATCGCAGGGCAGACAGACAGACATACACATTCACACCTAGGGGCAATTTAGCGATGTCCAATCAGCCTGACTGCATGTCTTTGGACTGTGGGAGGAAACTGGAGTACCCAGAGGAAACCCACGCAGACACGGGGAGAACAGGCAAACTCCACACAGAAATGACCCTGGTCGCCCGGCCGGGAATCAAACCCAGGCCATTCTTGCTGTGAGGCGACAGCGCTACCCACTGCGCCACCGTGCTGCCCGAATGTGTAAATATATAACAATATATGCCCATACATACTAATATATCGAAAATTAAATATATGTAATATTGTAAGTGTTTAATACAACATGTACTGTATGTCCAACATATGAAATATATTACAAACTTGACATTTTTTACATCATAATTAAAAGTATGTAAGTAAAAGTATCTTTAGATATAGGTAATTAATTCCATAATGAATTACACCCACATTCGATTTACGTTACGAGTCTACAGATTTAAATCTATATGTTTTCTGTTTGTTTTGAAGTCACAAAATCACAAAAACATGACAAAAAAATAAAGCATGCTTTTCCTTTTCCAACAAAACCTTTCATCAAATTCAAATTGTAAGAAAATATCTCCTCCTCTACTTACAAACTCAAATTTGGAATGAACTGAAAGTTTAGAATCTGTAATTGAAGCGAACTTTCAATGGATCAATCTCAGCCGTCCATTCTGCTGACCTCTATTTCCTGCAGGACGCTGCTTTACAGCATCATCCATCTAAGCTAATGAGAACTGCACAGAAAAGTAGCCGATCCCAGTGGGTCCTACCTGAGAGAGAAGGTGTCCAGGTTGGCCGAGCTCTTCATATAGATGTAGAAAGATGCAATGTCGGTCTTCCGGAGAGGTTTAGAGGAGGTCTGAATGACCACAGCCTCTCCAAGCCTGAGCACTGAAACAGGAGTAGCGCCAGGACGCACCTGGAGGAGGCGCACGCTCCCAATCCTCTGCATTGGAGTCATAGGGATGTACTCGACCTGTGGTCCTCCTCCTGCTGTCCTCCCTCTCTTCCCACCCTCCAGTCCTCCACTGCAGGTTCCGGACTTGCTAGGCTGAGCCTGATAGTAGAGCTCCAGTGGGTTCCCCGGGGCCAAGCCCTGTTTTTCCCGGCTGGAAGCACCTGTTCCTGTTCCTTCGGCCGGGCTGAACCAGCCAGCAGGGGGCTCCACCTCCGCCATGCAAGTCCCTCTTTCGTTGGAGATCAAACAAGATCCTCGCACCTCCTGCGTCTGCCAGAAGGCGTAAACGGTCACACAAGGAAGCTCGTCCTTGGTCCCTTTGTCCTTGCTTCCTCTGTCCCAGTCTCTCCCGGCGACGTAAAACAACACGCGGACTTTTGGGGAGGAGGAGTACACCCACCTGGTCAGGACGAAGGATCGGACCTTCCAGTTGAAGGTGAAGACCGGCGGAGATGGACGGAAAAGCTGCACGGACTGGACCAGGTCCAGAGGGATCTCCTGCTCTGTAGAGAGCGGGCCATAGCTAGCATTGACCACCGGGGGGCGCTCAGCTCGGAGTATGACGAACGGCTGGGTGTGGCTCTGCATGCTGGAGTTGCGCATGATATCCTGGCCTGCCTCTTTCAACAGGAAGTAGTCAGCATTCCGCACCTGGTAGTTGACAGGGAGGAACATGGGGTACGGACTGGGAGATCCAACAGCGTCAGGAGCCTCCTGACTGTCCAGTTCTGCAAGAAGAGGAAACTGTGTTAATATCGTTACATGAAATTTACAGCAAGATCGAGTAAAAAAGCCTGTCAGTGTGTTTCTTGTACATATATATTTAATATCAGTATGATAAAAATGAAATATGATTTAAATAACATCCATAGTACATTTTAGATGTACTATGAAAATTTCACCGCAATCTAACCCATCCGTGCAGTGAAACACCACATACACACTAGTGAAGACACACACTAGGGGGCAGTGAGCACACTTGTCCGGAGCAGCGGGCAGCCCTATCCACAGCGCCCAGGGAGCAGTTGGGGGTTGGGTACCTTGTTCCAGGGCACCTCAGTCATGTACTGTCGGCTCAGGGGATCAAACCCTGAGCTTCCGTTCGCAAGGCTGGCTCCCTAACCTCCAGCCCATGACTGCCCCAGTAGATGCAGTATATGTGACATGAACGATGACGCCATGCAAAATTATTTGCCTTTTTTTGTGCTAATTTTCAAACAATATATTGACAATATATGCACAAAACTGAGACGTTAATCCGCCGATGCACATCACTGTAATAAAAATACGCCGTTCACTTAAAAAGTACAGCTACTGCAGATTTTCAACACATAAAAATACACAACTCCACTCTTAAACAGGCACACATGGGTTTTTACTGCGCTCAAACTTTTATAAAGTTATCATTATAATAGTTTTTAGCAGACAATCCTGACAGCACCCTCAGCTTCCCAAGTCCCTGAGTAAAAGTACAAAAATCTGAAGAACTAATGAGGCTTATTTGGAATCGCAGCTAAGAATTACACGAAAAACCGGCAAGAACAAAAGCAAAGACAAACTAACACAACAAGCAACAGGTGTTGGGGATAATGAGGGGGCGGGGCTAGAATTTTTCATTGAGATCCAGCAGGAAGGGGGGGGGGTCCTGTGATTTTCGGCTTCATGAAATTGAATGACACATAAGTAACACCTTGTGAAATGTGGAGTACTTAACATCTTGTACATAAAAAGCACATGACTGACAAGTAGAAACACGAGAAAGTGATCTGAGAGAACAAGAAATGCCAAGACGAGTGATAAACATTTCAAAACTGATAAAAGTAAAGTGAAAACAGCTCTGAGTGTTCAAAAACAGCCAAAACTTGCTTTTTCCTCTGCTGGAAACTGAAGACAAGGCATCCTTGAAATTGACTAGTCAGCTTTGATTGCTGCTTTTTTGCACTCGGTGAAAAAATAATATTTTTTCAATATGAATATGTGGCTCAAAACCGCAAAGTGTGTTGCGCAGGCTAGAGGAGCGCTGTTCGATCACAGTGCATGTTACTCCATAGATGACAATGAAAAGAAACATGCATTTGAAAAGGCGTCATCTGAGCACCCCTTAAAGTGGCCCCAGGCTGTACTTTAGCCTGACCATATCTCACTCTGACTTAGATATATGACTCAAAATTATGCAATATGATGAAAAAAGTTGATGTCATGATATGTAGTCTTCAGGGTGAATGTTGAAGAATATCTGTCCCTGCTGTAAAAATTCACAGATGGTATTGCTACTGAAATAAGAGATGACCAAAATCATGCTCTATTTGATCCTGTTTAACTAAACTAAAAAAATCAATATTTTTAACCCTATGTTAGGTTGTGCCTCGGTTTCCCTTCATACTTCACAATTCTCAGCCATAACATGTGTCTGAAATTTCTTTAGCTATGAGCCTAATGTAGCTAACAAGTAATGGAATCTTATACTCCTCTGATTAGTGCAGGGATCGACAACCCAAATGATAAGAGGAGTTATTTTGTTCTTTCAACAAAAATCAAACCACCTTGGGAGCCAAAACATTTTACGTCCATTTTACCATCTTGGCTGTAAATATGTCTCAGTATATGCTGATGTGTTAGCATAGGCTAACAATTTAATCTAAATGAAAACACAGACTTATACTGCTCTGCTTTTAGCTTTGGCTCAGCTATAGCTGCTTTTCTCACATCTCCAGCAGGAAACTGTTCCACAAAGTAGAATAGTTTCTTGTAAAATTTCTCTCAACATTTAATTTTTACAAGACTGAAGCTTCTCATTCGCCAGCTTCATGTGCGAATTTTCCCGTTCCACCTTAAATGCTGTCTGAGACGCCAGAATGCAACTGCTGCAGCATTTAAGGTGGAACGGGAAAATTTGAACAAAAAGCTGGCGAATGAGAAGCGACTTCAGCCTTGTGACTTTTTAGTGTTTGACAGTTTCTCACTGCAGATTAAACGTATCAGGAAACCAGCTGGAGTGATTATAAATGCAAATAAGTCCATTCGCCTTGAAGAACCCAAACCCGCTCCAAACCAGGGAACTCGATCTGTTGTCTGGACTAGTGAAGTTTATTTGTTGCGTGCCCAGGTTCCAGACATCCAGCCAGCCCGTAAGACATTGGACTGACACAGTCTTATAGTTGGACTGATGCCAAGATTAGACCCAGCTTATACAGGACAAGTAACAGGTGTGACAAAGATGACCATATAAGGAGAAACACAAAATAGGCAGCCTAAAAAACAACTTCAGCACATTCACACACAACACAGCACATTTCACAACAATAAACCCCTTCAGTCTCTAAATTACTCGATGTTCATCTTAAATTATTCTCTTTGCCGTTTCGTTAGCTACTAGCTAAGCGACATTGATGTCTGTGTTACTATGGTGACCAGCAGTCTGTGCGCCAACCTTCAGTGTTAAAGGGTGAATCAGCAGTGCTACATTAACTCCAGCGTTTAAGACCATTTATTGTTAAACTGTGTTGAACGATCAGCAGAGCTTTATTTTACTGTAAAGGAGGATTATTTTATTTTTACCTACTAATCTAATTCAGCTGTGGAGCCACAACAGGGCAGTAAAAGAGCTGCAGGCTGCCGACCCCTGGATTAGTGTTGAGTGTATGCCATTGCCTTAAACTTCATGTTTCTAGATTAGCTGTTTTCAGCTAACATATTTTAGCCCATGTTTCGAGACAGCAGTGAGTCATACAGTGTGAGAAACCACATTATCAAGTCTATTAGAGATACTGAACAACTCCACATGGTTAGAGCCAAGTATGTGATGATTTAGCCACACACCTTCCTTATATGCTAACTACATTAGCCTCCTCTGCTGAAAAAACAGCACAGCGCTCTGCTGGCCTGGTGCTGGTTTATCCGGTCACCCAGTATGTCGCTGCTGTCGGAAGAAAACCTTGTATCTCCAGTTTTTCAGTTTTTGACATGATCTGAAAATGCCTGATGATCTTTACATTGTGCGTAAATTTCATGATGAATGGACCAAAAAACGACCCAAAATGACTTGGAAAAAAGTCTGGTTCCATTGACTTACATTCAAACCAAAGTAGGTTTTTTCCTTCTCCTGTAAAGTTACCATTTTGGAGATACGAGGTTTTTCTCCGACAACAGCGATATGCTGGTTTTGCTGGTGATCGGCCATGCTGGTCTGTGCTGGCTCTCCTTGCAGGGTCGAAGCTCTAGTTGGAAACTAAAGGAGCAACATTCAGACCCCAAACAATGACAATGGACTGGACTTCAGCTATCAGTGGACGATGGTACAATAGTTCAGGACCTGCTGCGAATGGACTGTTAGGATATTAGGTACTCTGAAAAGCAACACTTCATAAATTACTCTCAGTCTAACCCACCCGCTCCATCCCCTCACCGCATAAGCAGAATACAAATTCAATCCAATATTCTGCACCATTTCTTGAAAACCCTCTCATGATTGGTGTACTCAAATATGCTTGGAACGATACATTGGCTCTCAATTCCTGGAAGTAATTTTTGAAAAAAGCAGATTGAACGTCGTGTCCGTGCAGTCATTACTCTGAAAGGCCAGTCCTGACCTTTCTCCTTAATCTTGACCAGATAGCCCATCCCCAGGACACAAGACAGCCTTTTCCATTCAGACTAGTGCTAGCATGTTAGAAAAGGCAAAAGTATGAGTTCTGTCTAATATTTTAGAGTTTATTATATGACCCATTGCTTTGGTTATTCACGCTAGGACACTGACATAACGTCCCATCTGCAGTAAACTGCATCGTCTGCTGTCCACTGGTGCTTAGCAATGAGGGTCTTTCAGGTCAAATGCAACATTTTCACATTAGACAGCATTTTTTTTACATTAAATCCAAATAAGACAATGAAATCCCTCAGAAATTCCAGTAACAGAGATCCTTACTAATCTTCTCAATATGAATGAGGGGAATAACGATACACTGGGCTTCAGTTCTTGGAAGTCATTTCTGTGTATACACCACAGCTGCATGACCTCAACAGTATACTAATGTACTTGTGTAATAGATAAAGAACTAGGATTATATTGAAATTTGAAAAAGAAACGTAAATTAACCTGCATTACTTTATTCAAAACCATAGATGTTTGTTGTATTACATTAATATCATGATTCAATAAAACACCCACATAAACTATCGACTGGCTTTCTGTCTGTCTGTCTATCTATGTATCTGTCTGTCTATCTATCTATCTATCTATGTGGCTATCCGTTTACTTATCTATCTATTTATCTAAATATTAATCTATCTATCTATCTATCTGTCTGCCTGTGTCTATCTATCTATCTATCTATCTATCTATCTATCAATCTATCTATCTATCTGTCTGTTTATCTGTTTATGTATCTATCTATCTATCTATCTATCTATCTATTTGGCTATGCGTCTGTCTGTCTGTCTATCTATCTATCTATCTATCTATCTATCTATCTATCTATCTATCTATCTATCTCTCTGTGTCTATCTATCTGTCTCTCTGTGTCTATCTATCTATCTATCTATCTATGTGGCTATCCGTTTATTTATCTATCTATTTATCTACCTATTAATCTGTCTATCTGACTATCTGTCTCTCTGTGTCTATCTATCTGTCTCTCTGTGTCTATCTATCTATCTATCTATCTATCTATCTATCTATCTATCTGTCTGTCTGTCTGCCTGTTTATTTGTCTATCCATATATCTATCTGTCTTTTTATCTTTTTGCCCATCTGTCTGTCCATCTATCTATCCGGCTATGCGTCTGTCTGTCTGTCTATCTGTCAATCTATCTATCTGTACAGCATGAGAGGGTCTGCTTGTGCTCAGCTCACTGGTCAGCTCTCTGGGCGCCCAGACTGCAGGTCAGCAGGTCAGTGGTCTCTCTCATTTGGCTTGTACAGATTAAAGCTGAGCTCGGCCAGGTTCAGCTCTGAGGCTGTTAGCACGCTAGGCTAATTAGCCTGCTAGCTGAACACAGCGGACCGGAACAGCAGAGAACAGAGAGATGAGCGCAGTGATTACTGTAGATTAGGAGGACACTGAGC